TGTAGACGGCCACCACCGCGGCCAGCACGCGCATGGCCCTGCGCGGGCCCGCCTGCCTGTCCAGGCCGCGGCGCCGGAGGCTGAGCGCCATGCTCACGATGGCGAAGAGGATGAGCGCCAGCGGCAGGAAGAACTCCAGCAGGAACAGCGCCTGGTGCCAGCGGAGTGAGGCTGAGGGGCGCGTGCCCAGCTGGTAACTGAGGCAGGAGCGGCCGGAGTAGGTCGTCAGGAGCAGGTGCCCGTTGAGGAGCAGGATGCCCCCCCAGAGCCCCCCGGCCACCCTGGCGGCTGCCCCCACCGAGGCCCTGCTCAGCGCGTGGTGGGGCCGCACCACTTTCAGGTAGCGGTTGAGCGCGATGGCCGTGAGGAAGACCACGCTGGCCGAGCGGTTGGTGGACATCATGAAGAGGTTGACTTTGCAGGCAGCGCCTCTGAAGCGCCAGGTCTCCTGGCGGAAGTAGTAGTCCACGCGCAGGGGCAGGTTGATGATTAGGAGAAAGTCCGCCACCACCAGGCTGACCAGGAAGACTGTGCTGGACGTCCAGGGCCGCATGTGGAAGCAGAAGATGAAGAAGGCCAAGCCGTTCCCCACCAGGCCCAGGACAAACTCCATGCCCAGCACTGGCGCCAGGAGGGCAGACACCGTGGGGGAGGAGGCCAGGCGGCAGGGAGCTGAGTCCTCTCCAGGTGACCCCAAGGCAGTGGTGAAGGCAGAGGGAGAGAAGGAGGGAGAGGGAGGGAGGGAGGTGGGGAGAGTGGAGGGGGAGAGAGAAGAAAGGGGAGATGCAGAGCTCATGTTAAGAAATTCCATGGGCTCCGTGGGCTGTGGACCTGAGAGAAGTTTCCAGGGTCTTCCTACCCTAGCACGAGTGTTCAGGGATGAGTGCTTGCTCTCAGCTGGCCACCACAATGACTCAGTATCCTGGGGTTTGCATCAACAGCTGCTGAGAAACACCCAGGGTTCCTATTTGCTGGCAAAGGGGAACCCTGCAGGCCTCCCTCCCTCCCCTCCTTCCCGGGACACTGAGTGGCCTGTGAGGTCTCTAAACCCAGCCTCAGTTGCAGTCTTCAAGGCAGGGCTCAGCAGGGGTGATCGGAGGCCCTGAGAGACCCTGCCTGGGGAGGAGGGCCAAGCTGGGGTGAGGTTGAGGAGAGTGTTCGCAGCCCTGAGTGGTCTGACATTTGCTTGCCTGAAGGCAGGTGCTGGTCCTGGCAACTCACAGCCCTCTGGAATATGCAGAGCACTCCAGACCCCCTTCCCATTACAGATACAGACAGGAGACTACCTCCCTGCCTCTACCTGCTCTGGCAGCAGCAGGGACTGTGGACTCGACAATGTTGCCCTGGGAGAGGGAGGCCTGGTGGGAACAGCCTGCTGTATATCCGCCAGCCTGCTGTGGTTATTCCCAGGTCCCGACAGTTCCAAAGTTGTGATGGTCCCAAGTCCACGTCCATGATGAAGACCATCCCACAGGCAGAGGGCACCCCTGCCAAGTTTCTACTGCCATGACCTGGGGATCTGGGGGCTTCTCCCACAAACAGAACAATCCTGAGAATCGAGTTTCTCTGCCATTGTCCACCCACCTCAGCGGGCCATCACCCACTATGCACTACCCACTTTCCCAGCGCGTGGTGTTCTCATGAGCCCATAGGGGCAGGCCCGTGGGTAAAGATGAGGGCTGGGGCTCCTGGGAACCTGGGATAGCACCAAGAGAGGCTGTGGTTCCAGCTCCAGGACTTGATAACCTCCCTTGCTAACTGACTGTGGTCAGTGGGGTGCCACGTGCTGCCAACTCTGCCTAGGACTGGGTTTCAGGCACAGTGGCCGTTGGCCCCTCTCCTGCAGACCCTCTAGGACTTTCCCCTGCTCTGGGATCCCACTGGCCAAGGCTGAGGGCAGACAACCTGCGATCACAGGGTGCAGGGTGGTGGGACCACAAGCCTGAGATTTGAATGCAGACAGGCCTGGGCTGGAAACAGCCTCTCTGAGTTTCATCTGTAAGGTGGGTGTTCCACCTTCTTAGAGACATGTGAGGATTTAATGAGGTCAGGTCTGTAAAAACTTCTAGCAAATTCCTTGGCACAGAGTTAGTGTTGAGATTTGCATGATTTTCTGTCTAGGATCAGGCCTGCCTTTGGCACTAGGAGCAAACTCCCCTTCTTGTGGCCACCTGCTCTCTGCCCAGCGGGCCTCCCCTGGACATTCCTTTGTCCTGTCAGCTCCCGCACAGAGCAACTCATTGCCTTAGCCTCTGCCCTCACTGCTCAGGACTGGTCACAAGTTAGGGGAAGGCTGGTGGTGTTTTTGCTTTGCTTGCAGGAGAGGAAATCCCTCAGGGGTAGAGAGGTAGGTGGGTGAGGGTTCCGACATCCCTCAGGGCTGGAAGCCCGTTCAGCAAGGTCAGGGCCTCCTTTAGTCAGAGGAGGGGATCAAAGCAGTGAGCTGCCAGGCTGGGGTGGGGAAGGCAGGGTTCAGACTCAAGTTTTCTGGAGGAAGCTTTGATTCTACCCAGGGACCTGTTTAACCCAGATCAGCTTCAGTTCCCTCCCCAGGCAGCCCCTCACCAACTTCTCACTGAAGTCCCAGGAAACAGCCCAGATCTCCCACTGCAGGTTCCACGTTTCATCTCTACCCACTGCTGCGCCCAGAGCTCCCAGCACCCCTGGACCCCACGGGGGCCTGTGCATAGCAGGGGGTGCAGGGGGATGAGGCCAGACACCTCTCCCCCTGCCGCCAAGCTCCCATACAGCTTCACAGCCCTGTGCAGGCTCATCAAGATCTTCAGGTATTAACCGTAGTTCTCTCTGGGGGCGGGGGGCGGTTGTGTTTTTACGTATTTCTGTGTTTTCTACAATTAGCACAGGTCACTTCTGTTATTGGGGAGAAAAACCTCAACAGATGCTATTTTTTAAAGTTATGTAAAAAGAATAGGTGAGAAAGAGGCAGATAACAGACCCTTCACACATCCATGGCCACCTGGTGCCCCAGACACTGCCACACAGTCACGGGAGCTCGCGGTGCCTGCCATCCCCCATGGCCTGTGTGAGTGCAGACAAGCAGGCGCTCATCCACCAGGAAGCCTTTATTGAGGGCCTTCTTGGCGGCAGGGACAGAGGGCTGGAGAGGCAGCCTGGCTGAACTGTACAGAGGGCTGTTAGGAGAGAAGGGGAGTTACTGTCCCCAGCAACCTGGCATCCTGGCCGAGAGGACAGGAGATGGATGGGTGGCACTGATGTTCAGGGCCCAGCCCAGGGCACGCTGAGTCACTTGGCAGCAGTACACATAGAAGCAATGAGGTGGGGGGGAGTTATTTGGCAGGGGTGGTGCTCAGGCCAGGGTGGCTGCTCTGGGCTCACAGCAAGAGGGTCACCCTAGGGGCTTCTTGCGGGCGGGGTCCTGGGTCACAGAGAGTGCTGCGGAGCCTCGCCCTCGCTCCCAGGAGTACCTGTGGAGACACCAGTGGGCAGGGGTCAGACAAGGTTGGGCCCCGAGGATCCCAGGGAAAGGAGGGCAGTCCCAGTGTTGGGGGTCAGTCCTCCCAGGGACTCACGCAGTCCCGGCTGGCACCAGGAAGCTGTCATCAGCGTTCAGGCTCAGGCGCTTTCCTTCCATCATCAACACCGAGGAGCCCTCCTAGGAAAGAGGAGTAGGAGAAGGGAATGGAGGCTGTTGGCCACCACACCTGTGTTAGCATCCCTGAATCTGCCTCAGGAAGGAAGCCCTGGGAGCCGGTCCAGGCTGGGGGCGTCTAAGACCCAGTAACAGCCTGGTCTCCAAGGGCTGGCAGGAGGCTGGGCCACCCTCTCCCAGGGACCCCACTTGCCAGCTGCCACAGCCATATGTCCACGTCCTGTCTCGAGCCTTTGCTGCTGCCTTGTCCGTGGACGGTCACCTGGTTGTAAGTGACACAGACCGTTCTGGTGTGCCCTGCCCCACACAGGACCAGGCCTTGAACCTGCCCCCAGACACCAGGCCTGTGCGGGGCAGGGGTGGGGCCCACAACACAGCTTCATTTCCATGTGCAGAGCAGAGACCAGGAATTGGGGAGGAAGGCTGCTCAGGCCACAGGCCTCCCTGCCCACCTGCTGTCGGGATCACACGTGCCTGTCCTTCACACACACGTGCATATCTGCTCCCTCTGACACATGACACAACTACTGCTGACTCATATGGATGCCCGCCTGCCAGGGACACACTAGGGACACACGCACACATGTATACAGGCACGGTGCAAACCCATGTACCACACACACATGAACGCCCCAAAGGATACCTGTCTCCCTTCCTCCATAAGATGTTAGGAGTCTGGCCTAAGGAGGAGGAAGGAGATGGGGAGGGGATGAGCGGGAGTGAGAGGGAGGCTGAGCTGCTCCTATCTGCATCAGCCTGGAAGCCCACAGCTACTGTGCAGGCCACCCTCCCACAGGCCCAGAGTGGGACCCAGTATATATTTGCTGGAGTAAACGGAAGCAGGGAGGAGGAAGGGTGTGAAAGAGGTGGAAGGCAGGGCCGCGGGGCGGGAGGCGCTTGGTGGTGTGTGCACCGGCTCCCACAGCCCTGTATAAGCTCAGAGGCTTGTTGGCCAGGCCTCTTAGGGCACGTCTGCATCCAGTGAGCATCCCTCCATAGGGTTGTCTAATTCAAACTGCAAGGGATGTGGCAAATTGCAAAGCACAAGTGAACATGAGCCTCCTAGCAGGTCTCGTTGCCACACTTGCCCACCTGACCTGGTCCTCATGTAGCCTACAGTGATCTTTTTGAAACACCACTCTACCCTGGTCACACACCTGCTTCAACGTTTGGGTGAAGCTCTCCTGTCTCCAGGATAGGTCCTTGCACCTTGCCCAGCCCAGGAGGGCTGCGAACACCTGGGCACTGCCTGCTACTCTGGCCATCTAGCAATTGTGCCTGCTGCCCCCACCCCTTGCCCTGGTCCCCCAACCTCAGCTATCTGCAATATCAGTCAGTTTCAAGCCTCCAGACCTTTGCTCATGCTTCTTTCACCTGGAATGCTCTCTCCATCTCTCTTTCTTCCTTTTGCAAACTCCTATATTAGCTTTAAAGCTCAGCCTATACATCACCTCTGCCAGGAAGTCTTCCCTGACTTCCCTCACAGCTGGGTTCCTTCTTTATCCTCCTATGGCTTCCCGTAGCGTCTCTAGCAAAGAATGTGTCACATGCTTGTGGCAATTGTTGATTAACTTGTCCAATTGCCAGACAATACTTTGATCTATCTTATTTTTCCTACCAAAACCTGAAACATAACAGGCCATCAATAAATGTTGAATGAAAGGAGGCCAGCTTTGTTGGGCTCTCTCACTGTGCAACTCTTCACCCAATCCTCACCCCCAAGTATCTCTCTCCCTTCTGGCTCCTAAGGCTATGATTGGCCAAAGGCCCAGGAATTCCTGGCAGGGGGTTGACACTAGACTCTCAGAAACCTGTTGTGGATGGGGGCAACCCCTTACTCTGAAAGCAAAGGAGGATTGCTGGGGACCAGGTAGCTTCCACGGGCTTCCACTCACAGCAAAGCCATCATTCTCTGAGTCAGGGAGGAAAAAGGAAAGTCTATGATCGTGTCTGCAACCTCCAAAACTGGCAAGTGAGTGTGTGTGTTCATGTGTGACTAGTTCCCATCTCCCAGGGCTGCTGGGTGGGTGCCCTGGGTGGCCCAGGGCTGCATTACCTGGGTCTCATAGGTGTCCCCAAACAGGCTGAGCGGTGTGCCTGCCTGCAGCTCCTTGCGGTGGCCATCCAGCCAGGCCTCCAGGGACATGGGCTCCATGATGGACCGTGTACTCAGGGGGAATGGTGGTTCCTTGAGCAGCTGGTCTGCACCCACAGCACAGCTGTGGTCAGTGTCCTCTGGCCTCACCTGAACAGCCCCAGCAGACCCAGTTCCCAGTGGTCCCAGCTCCTAGTCGCTGGAATGGGCTCTGGATCCAGCTCAAGGACCAAGCAGCCATGTGGGGGTACTATTTGGTGCCATTTTCTTGTGCCTTGAGTACTGGACAGAGTACTCAAAAGGAGACTCCCTGGTACCCAGGGCCAAGAGCCATCCTTCTATGGGAAGGGAGGGAGGGAGGGAGGGAGAAAGGTGGTTCCCAGTGGCCTCACCAGGCTTGGGCTTCCCTGTTCTGTGCTGCTCAGAGCTGAAGAACCTACAGGAAGAAATGGGCAGGGGGAGTGGCTAGTGAGACACAGGAACACACACACTCACACTCATACACTCAAGGGCACAGGAGCCCACATATGCTCGTGGGGCCCTCACACAACTTGTTGTATATCTGCCATCCTTTCCCTCCCCTCCCCAGGTTGCTTTCCAGCCCGGGGTCCTCCCACCCCGGGAGAGGCAGACTTTCTCCCTAAATTCTGGGCGTGGTGGCTCCGGGCTGGCCAGTGCTGCCGAGGAGCACTGCTGGGATGGGTCTGCTCTCCCCGCCAGAGCGCAGGGCTCCTCAAGAGAGCCAGGGGCAGGGGCAGGGCTGGGGGCTCACTCCTGGATGATGGGGGCCAACTGTGTGCCAAGGTCCTCGCAGTAAAACCACTTTTCAAACAGGACGTCCGTGGTGTCCCCCACGTAGTACCTGCCAGAACAAAGGACAGCACGCGGCTCACCACCTGGATGGCCTCCGGGCAGCCTCTCTCAGGCCTGGCTCTGCTAGTGGACGCCTGCGCCCCCACCCCAGCCCTGCACAGCTGACTGCCAGCTTCGTCCTGTTGGCGCCACCTAGTGGCCAATGCATGCTCACCCCCACCCACGCCTGGCTCTCCCAGGAACACCTGTGTGGCCCCAAAGTGGGAGGGCTATTATCAGCCCCATTCTCATAGCTCCTCCTAGTTCCCAAACCTGACCATTTACAAAGAAAACAGAAGTAACTCTGAAGCTCAGAGAGAATCTGGGCAACGCGGCAGGGATTACACAGCCTGTAAGTGGCACAAGCAGGGCAGACCCGAGACAGTCTTAGAAGCATAGGGAACATCAGTGACAAGTGTTTTTCCAAAAACTGAGGAAGCTGAGGCTGACTAGGACCCGTGGCTGGATCTCCACCTGCCTGCTGGTATTCTAGGTTGGAGCACATGGAACCTTAAGGAACCAATATGCAGAAGATGCCCCCCAGATGATGGGGTTCTTCTCCCCTTGGGGTCATGGATGCCTTTGAGAACTAGAGCAAAGCACTGGGCCTCTTCTCTGGAGGAAGGTCCACATGCATGCCCACATAGCCTCCAGCAGACTCCCTGAAGTCCACCCGGGCCCCCAGCCCCCAGCTCTGCTGGTCTGAGGAGTGTTGGGCAGACACAGGCCTCAGCCTCAGGGCCCTATGCGTGCAGCACATCTACTGACCAAATGCCTAAACCCCAGGCTCAGCTCCCAGGGCCAACACAGCTCTGTTCTTCAGCTCCTCCCGAAAAAGAGAAGTGGTCCTGCATATGGGAGGTGGTTTACAGACACACAGTGCATCCACCCCACCTAACACCCTGAGTTCCAACCTGGGATGGAGCTGGCCACCAGAAAGCCTCATAACCAGACCTCGATGTCCTCCAGGAATTGCCTTCAGAGTGGCATTTTCACATTAAGCCTCTGGCTTTTATTAAAGGTCAAAAGCAGCAGATGAAATCTGTTACTGAATTTGCTGTAAAAATGTTACTGAAGACGCTGTCCTCTCCATCACTAAAAACTCCTCATATAAAGCCCCGTGTGAAAAATTGCCTTTCAAATTTAAGGCCAGGCATCTATTCCTGTAACAGACTGTTCTGCAGTAAATTACTGTGCAGTTATTAATATTGTGTTTTTTGAAAAGCGTGTAATAGTATGAGAAATACTCCTGAGTTTCTTTTAACGTACAAAAAGCAAAACTCAAACCCATGCTTACAGTAAGACCGCAATGTTGTAAGGTTGCAGATAAGCACAGAAAGAAGACGAGATGGAAATTTAAGTGCTTTGTTGGATTTAATTGGTGGGATGACTTTTGTTTTTCTCTTTATTTTTGTTAATTTTGTTTAATTGAGATATCATTTGCATACTATAAAATTTACTCTTTTCTTGACAGGTAATTTTGTTTAGTTTGCTTTCTTGTACTTTTCCAGACTTCAGGATTAAATGGGTGTGACTTTGGTAATTAGAAAAAAGGGGAAGCATTAAAAAAATTGTCCATTAAAACAAAAGATTAGGGGCAAAGTATCCTGATTTCAGTAGCCTGTTGGGAAATTTTTATTTTCTCAGTTAAAAAAATACAAAATATAGCTTAGCTTTTAGAAAAAATTCTGTGTCTCCCAGAACCAAAGGCTGAGTCCTCCTTTCGGAGGAATAATAATCGGGTGACTGACTGGAACGAGATGGGAACTCAGCTAGAGAAACTCAGCAGCCATCTCTGCACCTGCGTTCATCCCCTCCTTGGTGCTGACTCACGCTCCCATCTAGGCTGTCCCGGCCCTAATGTCATTTTTCTCAATAATGCCAGCTCGGCTGCTTTCTTTCAGCTCGGGTCCAGTTTCTTCATCTGTAAAGTACAGATGATAACAGTACCTACCCAATATGATCATTGTGAGGATTAAACGAATAAATACACATAAAGCGATTGCCCGGTGCGCAGCACGTTGCAAATGTTATACAAACGTTAGCGCTGGTTGTGGAATGAGCTGGGGTAGAGGAACAAGGATAGGCGTGCACTGGCCGGGGCCAGAGGCTGGGAGAAGCAGCGGTGTTCCAGGCTGCCCTGGGCCAGGTGGGTCTGACGTTGGCATCCTCCCCGCCTTTCCCCAGCAGATCTCAGTGCAGACAGCACAGGTTCTGGTCTCAGCCAGAAGGTGTCTGGCTGAATGGGCTTCCAGGCAGGTCACAGAGAACATCCCCCCCACCTACCTTCATCATGAAACCCATCCTAGCACCTACCCCAACCTCTCCCCCTCAGCCAGCAAACACAGGCTCTCCATTGCCACCGAACCCACTCCATGGCCAGGAAGTGCTTCCTTGGGTCTACCCTAGGATCCTTTCCTCTGCTGCTTGCCACCCCCATCTCCGCCCCAAATGCCCAGACCAGGCCCATTTACCTGAGCCCATCTAGTTCTGTTTTCAGCCGCCTCCGCTCAATCACCAGCCCCATGGTGTTGGCAAACCGCTGTGGAGAGTGGGGGACCCCAGCAGGCAGGAGGAAGATCTGCAGCGGTGGGGACAAGGTGCCAGCAAGGCTGCAGTCCCCCACAGAGACCTCAGTGCCGCAGTGTCCTGGCCTCGCCAGCCGACCCGCAGTCCAGCCCAGCCCTCCCCCTACACCAGGAGAAGGCTAAGAGGAAGAGACCTCCACCAGAGCCAGGATGAGTGGACACGAGGGGGTTCCTGTGCTGGGGCTCAGCCTCACCTCTCCCTGCCGAATGACCACATCCCGGTGTTTCCCTCGCTCCAGGACTCGGAGAAGCATGTCACCCTCCAGCTGGTAAAACACCTGTGAGACAGGACAGCAGATGGGCTCGGACCCTCCCCACTTCCCCTTCCAGGTACTTGGCCTGGGTTCTGTCCAGAAAACCTGAGAAACTTCCTGAGGGCCTCAGAGTTTATAAGCAGCAACCTCAATCCTGCCCTGAGGTACCAGTCTCCCTGACACACACCACAGATAAAAGTGCTGGGGACATATAAGGATCATACCTGGACACTAAAGTGACAACCAAAGTACCTAGGACCCAACAGTTGGTGTCTGGCTTGGGGGCAGGGGGCTGGCTGGGATGCTCCCTGGACAATTCAAGGACCCATCAGCCATGTAGGAGAATCACCCGTTTACTGTGTCCCAGGGCCTGGGCAAGTGCTTTCCCATACAGACAGATCTTCTTGTATTGTGCCTTGCTTCGGTGTGCTTCCCAGCTAGTGTGTTTTTTTTTATAAATTAAAGGTTGTGGCAACCCTGCATCAAGCAAATCTATTTGGTGCCATTTTTCCAACAGTATTATTTCCAAATTAAGGTATGTGCATTGCTCCAAAAATATTATTAGCCCCGTTCTGCAGAAAAGGAAGAAAGAAAACTGAGGCTCAGAGAGTAATGCAGCTTGCCCAAGGTCACACAGTCAGTCCTGGAGCAGCAGTGTGGGCCTGAGTCTGCATGTAGCCCTGGAGCCTGGGCTGGCTCCTCTGACCGCAGCGATGCCAGGCACGGTGCGGGCAGTGCTGGGCCAAATCCCTCTGGGAGCCAGTGGGCCATGTACATGGTGGACTTGATGCTGGAAGCGGGGTCGGGGGGTGAATTGGGGGGTGCTGTGGGGGCTGGGAGCACTCGCCGCCTGCTATCTCCCAGGTTGGGGAGGGGGGCTGCAGGGCTCCTACTGTGTTTTTCCTATTTCATCCTAAGTCCCTAATTAATGTGTTTACTGAGATCACCCATGGAGCTGGGAGGAGGAGGAGGCAGACACATTCCCTCTCTACCAGTCACACACTGGGTGTTAAAAGCTCCAGCCAAATAGTTGAGGGGGTGTTATTAATAATAATTATTATTATTATTGTGTAAGGAGTTAGAGGAGATAGTAGATGCTGTGACAAGAACCTCTAAGCGAAATCAATCTGAGCTCAGGGAAACTAGAGAAACTTGGCTTTACCATCTGCCACGGAAGGCAAACTGACAACCCCCCCTCGCCCCCCGCCGCAAAGGGCAATTTGAGGAAGGGCAGGAAGAGTCTTCATAGCTCGCGGCCCTGTAGGGTGGGTAGTCTGAGGGGTTTCTCGGGATGCAGGACCGTCATGGCTGGAATCAAGAAAGTCCAGGGCAAACCAGGTCAGCTGGCCACCTTACAGCACGACCTAGAACTAAAACTAGGCTCCCGGGACCAGGGCAGAGCACCCAAGTCCCTCTCAACATTTGGGTCTCATTTTGGAGGTTGATCTCACATATTCAGGTTTGGGGGCAAGGGGACCAGGGCACCACCCCCAGAGCATGGACAGTCCTGTGTCCAGAAGATTATGCCCCAAAACTAGAACCTCCCACACGCACAGAGGCTGGGCTCTTTTCCCCGCTTCCCCAGCAGATTCCTTTGACGATGGAGTTGTCAAGGGTGTCACTGGGTGCCCACAACTTCCAGGCAGCAGTTTCGCCCTGTGGTTTCAGTTGTGCCCCCTTCACCCATCAGCCATCTGACTGCCCCCTTCTCCTGTCCACAGGCTCTGGCCCTGTCATAGGAAGTGTCCCCTCCCATGGGCTGGGTCAGGGGAGGGGACAGGGCAGGCTTACCTCCTCACCCTCCTCGATGTGGTAGTCCTTCCTGGTATTGGGGCCCCCCACAAACATGATTTTGAGCTGCTTCTGGTGCCTGCAATGGATGAGGGGGGAGAAGTCAGGAACCAGCTCGTGGGAGAAGATAGGAGGGCTATAGGGGCCCATGGGGGAGCTAGAGGGAGCCTGGGCACACCTCGGGGAGGTAACAGGGCTGTTTCTGCATCACTGCCCCTGTCAGTCTCCATGTTCATCCCAGTGTGCCCATGTGCATCCAAGAGTCTGTGTGTGTGTGTGACTGTAGGTGTGCCTGTGTTCTTCCTCTGCTCAAAGCCCTCCAAGCAGCTTCCCATGTCCGCCCCAGCCAACGTTCACATGTTGAAGTCCAAACCCCAGTCCCTCAGAATGTGACCTAATTTGGCACTAGGGTCGTTGCAGATGTAATTAGTTAAGCTGTGATGAGGCTGTACTGGAGTAGTAGTCATAAGGTAATATGACTGGTGTCCTTACTAAAAGGGGAGATTGAGACACAGACACACTCACAAGGAGACACCCATGTGAAGATAAAGGCAGAGGTCAAGGTGATGCAGCAGAAGCCAAGCAATGCAGAGATTGCAGCCAAACCCCCAGGAGCTGGGAGAGGCCTGGAGCAGCCTAGTGCTGTCAGGTCTGCCTGCCTGCCTCACCCCTTGTTTATTATATGTATTGGCTGCCTCCTCTCATCGGAATGTCAGCTCCACCAGGAAGGGACTTCTGTCAGTTTCCTGTGTATCTTCAGTGTCCAGAACAGTGCCTGGCATCTAGTAGGTGCTCAGTGAGCATCTGCTGAGTGAGTAAAGGGAAGGCCTGCATTTTGTTATTATTAATATTGGGGCAGTGCTGGAGGGCAGGGTGGGGGCCTGAAGGCAGGGGGAGTAAGTACCCATTGTGACAAGGGTGGAACCAGAGCAGTGGCCATGGACCTGGAGAGGAGCAGATGGAAGTGAGACACCATTAGGGGGAGAAAGTGGAGGGTGGAGGATGAGACTGTGGACGGGGATGAAGTGGAGGAAAGGGTTGAGGGTGACGACAGTGATAGAAGAGACCAGGTTTTGGGGGAGATGCTGAACGTCAGCTGTGGCAGTGCTGTGCAGTGAGAAGAGTGTGGACTTTGGAGTCAAACTCTTGCATATGCTTGGGTCTGGACCCTGTCCCGAACTAGCTCTGTTGACACTGGGAAAGTTATTTATTAAAAATCCTACCTCATGGGGCTACTGGGACAATTAAAGGAGATGATGGGAAGACACTTGGTGGTCTCTGGCTGGTCAAGGTGTGAATGATTGTAGCTGAGTGGTTTGAGAAGCCGCCCTGTTGGAGATGCTCTGCAGACACAGCAAACATGGGGCTGTGAGCCCGGAGCTGGGGAGCACAGGCGGTCCGGCCACCCAGTCGAATGTGGGGGAAGGAGGTGAAAGGGCCAGAGGGGATGGCCTGAGAGGTCTGCTGTGGTTGGACCAGGGTCAGCCCTGTTGGGTGCTGTGGGCAGAGGTGGCTAGGGAGGGCCTTGTAGGAGAGTGTGTGTGTGTGTGTGTGTGTGTGGGTGTGTGGGTGTGTGGGTGGGGGCACAGCTTCAAAGGGAGGACCTGGGAAGACAAATCATGATCCTCCCATGGGAGCGGATCCTCTGATTTCACCCTCTGCCTGCAGCTTCCCAGATAGAGTTGGGGTGTATGATCAGGCTGTCCCCAGACCTCAGTTCTGCAATTTGTAGGTATCAACCCCACCCCCACAAGTTTCTGAGAGTTAATAGGGGTTGGAGAGCTGTTTCTCAGCCCTGGAGAGGAGGCTGCGACCTGCCATTTGCATCTCTCCTAGTCTCATTCACCTAGCCACCCTCAAACGCCAAGGACACAATCTCCACTCAGTCATCAGAAAGAGGAACAGAAAGAGGGTGGTGAAACCCGGAACAGCCCGTCCCCACCCTCCTCTGAACACCATGAGGATGACATTCCCCCTTTCTGCAAGTTCTAGGTGCAGGAATTTGGAGCTGGAGCTTGAAGGGTGAAAGGTGAGGGGTGCAGATGGAAGAAGACGAGGTGAGGACAGAGGGCACGAGGAGGGGGGCGTGCGTGGGACTCACAGGAGCTTGTTGCAGACCGGGGGCAGGAAAGAGGCCCGGTTCTCCTCCACCCAAGCCTTCACTCTCACCGGATGCTCCATCGCTGCCCGGGAGCCGAGCTCTGGAGCTGTGTCCTCTGCGCCGTCGGAGCGGCGCGACCCGGCCCAGCCGCCTATTGGCCGCCGGGTAAATCAGCAACTGGGGTCAAAGGGCGGGGCAATACCCCCGGCCGCGCGGCAGCCCCTCGCGGACTTCGGTCCGGAGCCATCCCCCTCTCCGCGGCGCCCGAGTGGGGCGGCGGTTCCGAGCGCAAGGCACGGGATCGAGAACCTTCCTGGCCCCTTGTCCCACTTTCCGCCTGGGCCCCAGGAAGACTCCAAAGAAATCCTGTAAGGGGGAGAAGGGGGTTTGGAAACCCGAGCGCCTGAGCACAGGGGTGCTGGCAGTAGATTGAAGCCTTAGTTTCCTCGTCTGACAACT